TATGTCCATCTTTTGAATACAGATTGTGGTTTCTAGCCCAGGAATTTTAAAGGTGCTAGTTGGTGAATTGCTACATGGCCAGAGACCCACTAGCTATTTGTTGCTGTTTCCAGTTACAGACAGGAAACCTGCAGATAACAAGACTGGTAGAAAAAAACAACAACTTTGTAGACAAACTCAATTGCAGAGGCATTAGCATGTCAAAGTACTGAGACGCATTTTTACCGCTGCAGTTTTATATTCAGTCAGCAGGATGAACTGAAGCCAAGGATGCATGTGCACGTGACCCGCTTTTCAGAGCACAAATGGAGGAAAAGTGTATGTATGCAGTTCTTAATGGTAGTAATTTCTGAAATGGCCCATAAGGTTGATTTAAGGCTCGCAGAGAGACAGATCAGCCAGAGTTTAAACAGCAGGATGCTTCATCAGGAATATATTGTGTGTGCTAGCTTTGAATAAGGAGCCAGGGCGGGGGCAGCGGGGCCGCTCTGAAAGTACTGTCCTCATGCAAGATGCGCTATCTAAACACAGCTAATCAGTTTAGGTGTAGACTGATTTCAGTCAGGGGCTCAGCTTTGTATAAACTGAAGGTGGAGTACGAGACGTTTGCATTACCCTGCGCTCTGAATGATAAAAGAGAAGACAGAGGGGTTATAGGGTCCTTAAGAGAGATTCAATAAGGAATGGGCCTTGGTTTAAATTTCCTTCTTGTTTATAGCATCTGAGACCAGAAGAGGGTTTCATTAAATTAAGCCTCTCTTCCTCAATCTTCCTCTCACATATTCCGTCTTTCTCTGCCTCCACCCTCTCTACCATTTAGTTAAAGGGAAACCAGATGAATATTCCCATGGGAAGCCAGTGCATCACTAGCCCAAAGCACCACCACACATGTGCAGACACTCCCCCTCATAAAGAAGCCTAGCATTAATGTTGAAAATGTACCTCTGTTCTGTGATGTTGAAGCCAATATGCATTAGCAGAGAGAACTGCTAAACGCACATTTCACTGAGACAAAGCCACGTAGTTAAAATAACATGATTTGAAGCCATAAACTGGCTCTGACCACAACAAATCATTCGTAATGTAATGAGCTTGTTTGTTTGCCGGCTGTAAAAATACGACGACTGTCAAACTCAGTTAATTCCAGTCTTTAAGCAGGAAAGAGAAAGAAAAAACTTAATTACACGCTACAAAAGAACTCAACTTTCCACTAAATTCAATTTGGATTATCAGAGGTTGGCACGCTGCCCACACCAAGTGTCCGCATTGCGTACGCCCGCACAGAGAGCTGGAAATGGGCCCTGAGTCACTGACCTGAGGGAGCCGGACGGCTCTATCAGCAGAGCTGAGTGTCCATAAAAGAGTTTTGATGAAACATTTTAAATAGCTGAAGTAATTCCTTTAGTCATTCATTTTGTTAATCTGGTTTTGGAAATGGGTTTGAGGGAAGGAAAGCGCTACCATTAACCAAACTGTGTGCTTGCCGTGTGATAGATCTCTGTTCATATCTGCAAAGAAACAAAAAGCATCCTGCTTATTAAAAAAAGGGCTCTCTGTTATTTTATTACCAAGCAGCATCACTGTGTATACGCTATCCTTCTTATTATTGTGGCTTTGTAGACAGAGCGTTACAGTTCAGGTGGGATTTAAAGGCTTGTCAGGAATAATTTTATTATCATGCTAATTTGTACAGAGGCCCTGCGATCTGTATCACACATAATGTCAGTTTTGGGGAAATGTTGAGCTTTGGAGGTGCAAAAAGCTTTTTGCAGATATGCTGTATATCACATAGTTTTCAGTTGAATAAAAACCTTAGGATTTCAAGCTGTTTACATGGGATGTGTCAAAAGATCATGCGATCATGGCATCTGTTTGGAAAATGATAGAAAATTTTGACATCTATGCTGTTGTCATTATGTTGTTTTTAATTATTTCAAAAAAGGGCCAGGTATGTCTGTTTGCAAGTGTGTGTGTGACACGCCACTGACATCATATTTGATACTGCAGAAATGTTGTGTCCTAATTTTGTCTGTATTCTGAGTGTGTGTGTGTGTGTGAAATAGATTGCAAGGCACTTTTTAGTTTTGCCAATTGAATCCATAATATTTGCATCAGTGGGACTGCATGAGGTTAATGTGTCTGTGTATATAAAGATCAACCCAATCACTAACAATGCAGCCACTTAAGTGTTTGAAACTAGAAATTAAAACCATAACAAATGCATTTCTGCACTTTTCAATGGAGTTACCTTCCACAGCAGGAAGCGCCTATATAAAAACTATCTATACACAGTCACATTACACAGCAGCTCCCATTCCTCATTAATCCCAGCCACTCTCCTGGTATCCATACTGCAATGCCCATCTGCTGTATTAGTGAAGATTCTCTTATCGACCCTTTTGTACACAGGCACCTGTTCATGAACTGTGACCTGGGTCTGTAACGTTTACAGAAGCTAAAGTCTGTTTGTTAGTTTGTTTTGGCAGGTTGTGAACTATGTGCGTCGAATAAAATGTTCATTTCTTTCCTGCATACGGTCATATCTTTTACCCTGATCAAACTGATCTTGAACAAGCTTCTGTTCAAAATATAGCAAAGCACAGCTCAAACCTCAATTATTGGTTTTATTTCAGAAAATTCTGAGTAAAAAAGTGAAAACAGACTTTGTGAAAGTCTGTTTTCACTGTGAATTTACAGTGTGACAAAAAGAATAAATGAATGATTCAGTGGGTTCAATCATATGTTCTTCAATTAGAAAAATAAACCAAGGCAGCGTTTTAAACAGAGCACACATTGTATAAGAGAAATCCCAAAACGAATTTGCAGCATGTCAAAGAGTTTAATTTTCCAAAAACACAAGTGGTGCATAGTCCATATCTTGTCTTCCAAGTACACCCTTGAGGAAAGGGATAACTCTGAAGAGATTAATGTGAAAGTCTCTGGAGGTTGCCGTTGATTCTTTAACACCACCGGCTGTGCACACTTGCTGGCTTCCCCAGCTGACCAATGCGACCTGACAAAAAAACAAAACAAAAAAACAATTGGTTATTTAAAATATTGGTTATTTAAAAAAGAATGTACAAGGTAAAATGACATGAACTTATTTTCTTAGTGGATTTATTCCCTAAGGTTATACTTGGTTGTGATGTACAAAACAAAGTAGCTGATTTAGATTTCACTGATTTGCCCTCACATGTAAGATAGCCTTATGGAGCGGTCGTACACGACTTATCGCTTTACTGATTCTGCTTTCTCCTTGACAATCACGGGGTTGAGTCCTGCAAATTGTCAACTCACCAATGTGCTACCACTCACGCCACCAAACCAAGGAAATCTTTGCTCACTACCTGCTCTTCTTGCTAAAATTGCTGTTTGGATGTCTGTCTGTTCAGAGTAGGACTTTTGCACGGAATGTCAGCCAAATTTAAAATGTGTGTTTTTTCTGTTTGTAATGGCTCTGCAGCAGAACCGTTTGAGTGCAGTGGTTGCACCGTGTATATTGCAGCCTACCTGTATTGTGCGTTGTTGAAAGTTTTTATACACAGCACCTCCAGAGTCACCTGTACCAATGAATAGAAACACACAGAGATACAAAAAAAACAGAAAACAAAGTCCAAGTCACTCATCTGCACCACTGTCACTGTATTGGAGTATAAAATTTGATATAAAATTAGGAACTTACCGGTACATGCAATATGATCTCTGAAAGGTTCCCAACCACCAGTGCATATGAAGTTATCCGTCACAGCATCTCTCAGTGTAGCAGCCGTTATGCCCTCTACACCTACGGCATGTTTGATGCATTCATATCTCTACATCGAAGAGGTTTTAGGAGAAGAATAAGGAACCTGTGCTTACATACCCAAAGACACATGCACAACACAGCTCACAAGTGTAAAACTTACATTATCACCAAGCTTAGCATGGACATCTTTCAGGTCCACTACATTGCTTGTCCTTGTCAGGAAATTCAGTCTTTCAACGTCAGTTTTTAACAGAAGTCTCTCTGTAGATAACAGAGAGACAGAAGAATACAGGTGAGCCACTCTGCAACCGGGAGAGACCTTAAATCCATCAGGTAGAGAGTATTCTTTCCATTCCCACGTACACAACAGTTATTCAAGGATTGATTATTTTTTGGTGGATGGAAAAATGCTCCCCTTAATTCGAAATGCAACCTACCATAATATTATTATTTCTGACCACTGTCCCGTTACTTGCTCCTTCGTATTTAATAATCCCACTAAAACATACAGAAACTGGAGATTTGACCCACAACTACTGAATGACTTAAAATTCAAACAATATATAAACTCTCAGATGTCCTTATTCTTTGATACAAACGATAATGCCGAGACCTCTCCAGATATACTATGGGAAACGTTTAAAGCCTATATTAGGGGGTCTATAATTTCATATCAAGCGTCACGGAACAAAAGGAATAAACTAGAACAACTAAATTTAGAAAAAAGAATCCACGACCTGGACGTCAACAATGCAATGGCTCCCTCTTTAGATAATTATTTCAGATTTAAGGACTTAGAAATTAAACTGAATTACAAACAAACACATTAGAAAATACAAAGCCTGGGGAATTTTTCCCATTCCCTTCCATACAAACAAGCTGCTGACCAATGAAAAAATCCAAGTTGCTCCATGTCACTCACAGAAGCTACGTGCAGTTTTACATGCAGTCATATGTGAGTCCATGAACATAAGCAACCTACGACCAGATGATTAATGTAACTATCGCGATGTCAACCACTGGCTTTTTGCATCTTGCAGCTAAGATGTTGATTTTGGGGACTGGAGGGGAGGTCTGAATGGGAACTCGCACACGCATTGTTTTTTTTTTTGTTTGTTCTTTTTAAACATACTTAATATTTCAATAATAAATTACAGAGATCAAGACAAAAAGCCTTTTCCCCTGTAAACTTCTACAGCACCACAATTACCCCAATCTGGTGGCCCTCTGATAGAATTTAGGCTTAAAGCACTTCTGAATTGGCACTTTGAAATTCATTTTTCCAATCTGGAGGCTACATCCATGTTGTATGCTTATGCAACCTGTCTGTGCAGCAGGCCACAGTCCCTGTCTGCCTCACGTCCTTTATCATTTTACCTGTAACAAAAAGATCAGCTGTTTCCTGCCTCAGTGATTACCGCGATTACTCGCCCCATCTCCCTGACTATTTTAAATGGTAAGCTAAGTGCCCCTTCTCTTCCGTGCTGAAAGCTGCAAAAGAAATTTAATTGATAAACACATAACAAAAAAATGTATTCCTTGTCTTCTGCTATCTACATGAACAACACTGGATTTTCTATTTTTAATTATCATTCATTTATTGTTTTCATGCAGATGAAGATGAAGTCAAGGGTCTCTGTGGACTTCACAAAGAGTATACGGATAACCGCAATGAGCTGAAGAGGAAAATGTATCCATGGATGGTGTTTATTTCTACTCAGGTGAAAGTTTCGCTGTTCCATTTAAACCAGTAGAGTAATGCGACTGAATATATAAATCTCTATCCTTACATGTTTGCTAGTGAACCATCCAAAAACTCATAGGCATAACTTTGTGCTGAACATTGGGGAGGGGGGGGTCTGTCTCATTGAATAAATAAATCTGAGTAAATTCCCATAACCCCCCTGGAAATTACGCCCCTGCAAAAACTCATAGATTTAATGAATTTTTATTTTTAGGTGAACAGACATCAGATTCATCTACCATGTTGCTATGTTCTCCCTACCAGATGTTTTACATAGTAGATTAATTATGTAAATTAAGCGTGTCTTGCTTCAGTGCATGCAGCAGTCTAAGTATATGATTGTTTTTTATTTCAAATTTTAGGCTGACGGTCACTCGAAGAAATGTATGGGCTCTCTGGTGACGCCTGAGTTCGTCCTGACTGCTGCTCACTGCGTGTTTGGTTTTTTGCCTGAAAAAGTCACTGTTGAAATTGATGATGGAGATAACAGAAGTAATGAAAACTTTATCTAAAGATAGCATGATACCCTGTTTTATAAATTTGCTATAGATAAATATGTCTAATGTTTTTGATTGATGATATTAACAATAATACAACTGATTTTTTTTTCAGTTAAAAAAGCAAAAACTTTATTTTATCATCCACTCTACAATGTTACTGCCAAAAAGGATAAAGGCATTAACGAGTTTTATGACTATGATGTGGCTCTGATCCAACTGGAGAAATATGTTGTCATATCCACTGACGTGAGGTAAGAAATTAGGCTATGCAAATTATTGTGTTTGTACTGTACTGATTTACTGATTATTGATAAAACACTTTTTATTGTTTGGAATGTTTGAAATAATACATTTTTTCAGGCCCATTTGCATACCTTGCACCCGGGAGACCAATGCTGCTCTACATTTGGTGGACCAGAGCTGTGAGTCACAAGGTGTGATAACTTTGTCTGTATGCTGTATAGCTTCATCATAGAGCCAAGTCTGTAAAAACAACAAAAGATATAGAATTTTATGTAGAGCTGGGTGATGTTGCCTAAACAGACTGTGAGTTATTGAGCTCAGAGCCACACTGTCCTTATATATTTGTAGAATTAGTTTCGTCATTGTCTTGCTGAAATAAGCAAAACCCTAAGAGGAAAAGTGGATAACTGGACTGCAAGTGGTTGCAGACCTGGTCCAGTTTTAGAAGCAACCATTGCAAAGGCAGCAAGATCGCAAGTTTATCACACACAGTTGTGCTGCAGTGTCCAACCACTGTTTTTCTTGTGTTCCCCACAAGGAAAAAAAATGTGTATCTCGTGACCAGCGTTTAGAGGAGTTTGCTGGTTCTTGCTCCTTGTATTTGCTTTGGCTGCTCGCAGGATGCAGCAGACAAAGTGATCCAGTGTTTAGGGACTCACTTTGCAAATTTTCACTGACACGCGGATGTTTGCTACACATTTCCATTATTCTTTTTCTTCGTGCTTCTGCTTGATTTGTTTTTTTCCCTAACTACTACTTATGTGTCTGGTGTGCATTGGCTCCCTGTTTGATGGTTCTTTGTTGCTTTTTAGCTTTTCCCTCTGTTTCATCAGAAAGCTTTGTCTTTTGTTGGGTATACACTGTGAATAGGTGTGCTTTGTTGAAAAAAAAAAGGTAAAAACTGATGGAACG